ACGTTTAATTCGACTTTGCGTTAATTCGACCGATGACTCCGGAACGGAGGCGGTCGAATTAACGGCAGTTGACTGTAATATGTTCAAGAAATTTTGATGGTGACTTATATTGGTTCTACGAATAACCATAATGGACCAAAATGCTAAACCGCCCGGAGCTACAGGAAGTTCTAACGACGATGAGCACATGTCTGCAGTAAACCAGCTGAAAGATCTTGGAAACCGGCTTCTGAATCTAGCCAAATCAGATGACGAAGTTTTACAGCAACAAGTCTTAGATTCTTTGTTAGAATTATTGCAACCTCTTACTGTGACCGAGTCAGGTCCGCATATTGACAGGCTAAGGGAGATTTTTGAGTTTGTTCAAAACGGTAGATCCCAAAGAACAACTTCCCGCCAGCCGCAACAGAAGGTCAGTGATCAGAAACAGACATTAGCAATCACTGATGCTTCTTGAAAGACTTACTAAATTTATATTTTTAATATCAACGATTACTGTATTATGGGCTTTTAACTTTTTCCGGAAGCCTACATCTTAGAGAAGTACGGACGAAATCGTCGACGTTTCTATTGGCTCTGTGGATGAAGTTTTTGTTGGAGTCATTACAGTGGTCAAATCTTTAATAAATGATTTCTTCAATAAGGATAAATATAAGCAATAAATTCGAAGGTTAAAATTAGTAGAGATATAAACAATTGCGGCCAGTATATTGCGATGTTTGCGTTGTCAACGTCTTATGGTGTACTTAGCCCATCACCTTTTGTCCTTTTATTATGAGATATTGTATGATACACTCCCCAATACCATACTTCGAAAATAGTGAGACGTCAACTTGATCTCCGTTGTTTCCCCCAGCACAATTTAAGGCTGTAAATTCATTACAATTTACTCAGCGCGTCTTGGTTGGCTAGTAAGGTCACTAATATTAATATGGTTTTATATCAATCGAATATTTCAGACTAATTTTTGGGTATCCAGATTACGTTTGGACTCTTGAGTAATATATAAGTCGTTAGCTTTAACACATTGTGTTCACAACAGTCATCTGACTAAGTGACAATTTTATCATAACAATACTTTTATATGGAATTATGACAAAGATTATTACTATTACTGTTCTCTCTTTGGCTATAATTGATGTTATAGAATGATCATCTCCAGTCTATATTTAATATTAATATATTATTAAAAAACTACTTTGTGAATGAGCCATATCTTATTATTTGCCCATATTAGTACAGCAGTATTTGAACCTAGCATAAGTGCATTCTGTTTCAACTGTAAAGCACCAAGACCTCTCAATTGGACTACAGGCAACAAGTCATTGGATTCATTTATTATGGGATCACAGAAAAATATGAGGGAAGACGATGCCTATATACATTGGATTGAATACTCTCAATTATCAAACATACAAGAGATGACATCATTACCCCATAGAGGCACATATATAGCAGATTGGTTAGAGCTGGCAACAAATGAATTGATGCATGTGACACTCAAAAAGATAGTTAATGAACAAAACAATCCATTATTTGATAATTATTTTGTGCAATCAATAAGTGTATATCATGCATTTAATGATTATTGTTGTAATGACTGTATTTTATTTACTCAAACAGCTAACCAAGGAATACCCCGAAATATTGACTCCAGATAATATTTGGATAACTGGGATCACTCAAGAGCCATCTTCTCAGGCTCTTTGACCACTTTATCCCTTCCCACCACCCCGCTCCATAGTTACTATTATACTAACTACCTAATAAACTAATAAAAGCACCTAACTCTTCTATCTAAATTATGTCTGAACCTGCCCCAACGTGGGCTAAAGTAGTTGAACAGTCTAGTGTTGTCCCTACTGATAAAGAATTGTTTGCTTGCTCTGAGTGTACAGTTTCGCTTTCAAAATACCTCCCTTATAAGAAAAACCCCTGTAAATAGCCGATTTTGCTATTTACTACGGAATTGTTTAATTGGTCAAAAATTCACCCCCATGTATTTTAGAGTTGGTAAAACGCGGCGCTTTTGTATAACTTAGATTTCGAACACCAACTTGATCACTTGATCGTAAATAGTGATAATTCGCGAGTAGA